GCTGCCAGCCTGCAGCTGGCGGTTTCCGCTAGCAATGGCTCCTCCTCCCTCCTAGCCTGTCTCTGTTTTCAAAATGGGATGGGGGAAAGGGAGCAGAGGGAGCATATTCTAGGGGTTCCCCTAGCACTGGAGTCCCCCTGGCACTGGAGGGTGGGATGGGTGAATTGTGGGGGGTGCTCCAATAACCTGCGCCACACTCCAGTGGGGGCTGAAAAACCCCAGACCAAACTCCCTCCACCCATTTTTCCTCCTCCTATTCTAAAAATAGCTCTGAGGCTGGGAGGCAGTGCAGACCCAAGTTCCAGAAGACACTATGTTTTCAAATGTCTTTAACTGAACTCTTATTCTATAAGAGTCCATATTTTTTCAGGATTGGGCCCTCTTAAAGAGCTTTGCAGCCATGCCTTTCTGTTTAGTCTTGGCTGTAAAGCACTTTCAGGGGCTAGATCTGGCAAAAATTGTCACTTCTGCCTGCTCCTTTTCTGTATCACAGGCCACTGACACTGAATTAAAGGAGCAGTAGAATCTGATCTACAATCCCAACAATTGTGCCGCCTGCTGTACTACATGTACATGGTAGAAAGTGGTATTGTGGGATTGGGGATCATATCTGGGCTCCCACTGCACCAGCCAATAGCAAGCCAGGTGCCCCGTGCACCTCTGGGTGGGAGTGTCGGTACTCCTAGTCCTGAGAGCACACTGGCTACACATGCAATTTAAAACTTGATAGGAATCAGCCACAAAGTTATTAGACATCTTTTGTGTAATAATTTTGGGCACTGACAGATATGGAGGGAAAACCCCCCGAAAAAACACACTTTACCAGAAGCAGTAGTGTGTTATTTCGACCCGGATCTGCAGTGCCTGTATAGACTGGGAGCTTCAGCAGGGCTTTTTGGAGCCTTTATCTAATAGCTGATTCAAACACCTAAAAGCACCAAAAAAGCCCCACTAAAGTGCCAGATCTATACAGACATTGGGAAAGCCAGGTTCAAGTAATGCCATGCCTCTTCTGGGCTCGGCGCAGGAGCACACCAAGTTTAAAATAAAGCTCCTCTTTTTTTCTTGCATTCATTACCTGAACATGCAGCTGAGTTACTGGGTTAATCACGTCTTATGTGTAATGTCTGCCAGGGACCACAGACAAGCACTTATTCGCCATACAATTGTGCTTCTCTGAAGATTTCTTTTACTTATCAGTCTTAGCTCTATGCATGAGATGCCTAAACTCTCCTCATTTTCAATGTTCTCAAGTAGCTCATTGGAAAACCTATCCAAGGTGTCTTCCTGTCACCTGCCACTGCTATTATGAATAAATGTCACCACTCTAGCAGGACCTAGTAGAAGATGAAAAAAATTAGCCGGAAAATGCCATTCCCCAATCAAAATGAAAAAACTTTCCTTAAAAAAAAATTGCTGGAAAACAATAATCCTCCAAACAACCAACCTATACACTTTGAGGTAAAAAGGTGAGTGCGATCCAAGTTATGCACAAAGAAGCAGAAATAGAAGACACTTATTTTACACTTTTCCCAGAAGACCACTTGGACAAGATTTTCAATTCTCTCTTACCACCTAAATCCATTGAGTTGAACCTTTAACCAACAGCAATACAAGGCAAATGCCAAGAGTTTGGCCTATCATGACCAAGTATCAGCAATAGAAAGAGAAGATACAAATAGACTTTTTAGGACCGGAACCACTTTTCAGTTGCATACTTGTACAGTACCTAGCACAAAGGGGCAGTAGTCTGTGCATTGCAACTAAAAATGTAACCCTACCAGATCTGCCTAACCATACCATATTAAAGAACCCAAGGAAAGAAAAAAATCCTGTTCAATTACAGGACATCCCAAAGAAAAACCTCTTTTCAAGCTATGATTTAATCATGTATCATCTTGTTTCTTTTCCCAGCTGATGCATAAAAAAAACCTTAGAAAATAAAAAGAAAGTACTCTACAAAAGAAAATATATAAATCATAAATAAAAGTAAACATGTTTAAACATTATGGAAAATAGTCTCTCTAACCATTCTGTTTTCTTTTGGTCATGGGAAAGTTTGAGAAAGCAAGAGTGTTTTATGTTAATCAGGGAGAGCCAGTGCTTTGCATGCCTTTAAGGGGTACATAAGTTTCACAAAAAGATCACAGTCCTGATGGAAGCAAGGCTAATAGGTGAAGCCATCTTTCCATCCTCTTAATGCTGGACTGCTTAGGCTTCAGTGTGACCAGGGCATCCTTCCGACCTTCTTTACATTATCCCAGTTTTGTCTAGAAACTGCATCCTGCAGCCAAGCTCATGACCAGGGATCCTGGTTTTCTTTGTTTAAAAAAATGCAAATTCTCTGATTGATATATTTACAATTTTAAAGCAATGTATAAACCGACCAGTGCCTCAATCACTGTAATAAAATAAATTTAAAAAAACTATAAATGTTGTTGTTTGATGTTGGGTTCTTTATCATGGAAAATCAGAGCTCCCCTGCCCCCTTTGCTCACCAGGATGTCCAACTCACTGCTTTGTGGTGCTGAGGAGCCCTGATATGCCAGTGACTTACCCATGCCATTGCCCCCCACTGTTGCCCTTCACTTCCGACCCACAGACTTAAGGCCCCCCTGGTGCCCCACTCCTCTCCCACAGCCCCCTGCCTAGGGCCCCCCAGCTGCCAGGGCTATGGGGCCAGGGACCTGAGTCCGCAGCCCCCTGGCCCCCACAGCAGCACCTGAACCCTGGCTGCCGCCCATGGGAGGTAGCAGCTGCTGTGGTCCAAGTGGAGCCTGGCTCCCCCACGCCCATGGGCACACTGCTGAAGCAGAACCCATGGGGGCAGTGGATGTAGGCCAACAGCTGCAGACTTGGGGTGGGCAAGACCTGGCACAGCAGGGCAAAGCCGGGCAGGGATGCTCATTGCCACGGCTGGGAGCCCAACACCGCCATGATGAGGCACTCCCTGCCCACTTGGTAGCAGTAGGGTAGTGGAGTTGTGCCCCCCACTGCTGCTGGGCAGGCCTTGATGGTACCTTTCCATGGCAGTGACAGCACTGCCTTCCTGTTTTGCCTTTCTGCACTGGATCCCACCTGCTGAGCTAAAGGCCCCCAGGGAGCAGGCAGCAGGGCAGGGAGCCCCAAACCCGTATCCACCCCCCACCCCACCCATTTCCACTTCAGCAGTGCTGCCCATGGAGCAAGATGTGGGAGCTGGAGGTCAGGAGTGAGGGGCACCAGCAGGGCTGTGGGGTCCTCTGGGTGGAGAGTGAGGGCCACTGCCAAGGCCAGGGGAGGGGCTGTGGGTCCTGACCTTGGGCCCCAAGCACCACCCTGACTGGGCACCTACAGCCCCTGCCCTGCCCAACCCCTCACCTCCCCCTCTCCCCCAACTATGGGGGCCTCAGTTTCCCCCCTTACCTGGGGGTAGCTGCTCTCCATGCTGCCCAGCTGCCACGTGCATGTGTGCATGCAGACATGCACGTGGCTCCCCCTGCCTTATTGCCCTCCTCCCACTTCCCCCAGCCCCTTGGAGACTGGGATTCCACCAGCTTGCACGGGGAAACCCACTGTTTCCTGCAATCTGCATTTTTCTCCTTAACAAGAGAAAATCCACATTTTATGGCAAACAGAAAACTCAGATCCCTACTTACAACTCACCCTCCCACCATCTGTATACAGACTTATCAGAAGAAATTTATTTCAGTAGAAAACAGCCCAGGAGCTTGTCTGTATGTCTGGGAAAGGGGCAGGCTGTCAGATACTGAAAAGTAACAGGTGCCAGACAGAATGCCTCTCCCATCTTACCAATAAGCTGACTGGCAGGAGGAAAGGCATTCAACCACTGGAGAATAGTTGTGCTCCTTTGGGCTGGCCTGGAGTGCAGGGAGAGGACAGGGGGAGCACTCAGCAGCTGTAGTAGAGCTCCAGGAGCCTGTCTTGCCCCCTAGTATTCCAGAAGAGTGTAGAACAAGGCAGGGACATTTTGCTGAAATAGCAAATTTGGCTCACAAGCCTTGCTGCTGCAGCACAACAGCCTCTCATCCCACTATGATCCTAATCAGCTGGGTGGTGCAGGAAGGTGGATGTGGCCAGGAGCCAGGCTGGGGAAAGCCGCTACATGCCTGGCTCCCAGTCACTCTGGCTTCCCCTTGCTCAATATTCCCCCTCCCCTGTCACTCAGCTGAGTGGGGAAGACAGCCATTTAAAAGTTAGAGCAGCTGGGCACCTGAAAGACTTCCCTAGCTCAGCTCCCACTTACTGCCCTGCCACCAACTTAAATGGCAGGGCAATGATATAAAAGCCAGTAGCTGAAAGTAGGATCCCCAAATCCAGCTTCCAGCTTTTAAATCACCACCCCACTGCTTAGCTAGGTAGCTAATAGGAGCCAGGAAAACCTCCTGGTTCTTCCCCAAAATCTGTAACTGTACAGACTGGGGAGCAGTGGCTGCTGCTTTTTTCTACCTCTCAGTCCACTGGAGGAGTGGGGCAGGGACAGACTAGCTGCCTTACCAACTCCTCCCCACAGCACCTTCTCAAGACAGGCATGACCCCAGCCTTTAGAAAACAGGCCCCCAGGAGAAGTTAAGCCAGGGGAAAGTGTTATCTTCCAGGATAAACTATTCTGGCAGGTTAAACTGATATAACCTAGCAACAATCAGGGTTAAATTTTCTCCTGGAGTGGTCATTTTTGCTCTGGGAGAAAAAGCCTTACTATCTATCCACTTTCGATTTCTATTGGGAGAATGGCAATTCTCCCAGTAGGAAATAAACATCTGTACCTGGCCCACATTCCCTAATCCAACATTTATTTGCAAAGGGAGTCTTTAAAGGTTCCCATATAAGTCCTGCAGTGCCTGTACCCAGAACCTTTTGTGTCAAATACATAGAAGAGAATTTTTCTTATATGTTGCTATCAAACTGAATCTTCCACAGCATATTTTTGTGGTTGTACAAGAAGAAATGCTTTATTCAAATTCAACTATGTTCTTCAAAGAAACATTTCAAGTGACAGGTAAATTCTAAGGTTTTATTTTTTTCTGACAAAGTATGCAAAGCATCAATATTGGCAATTGAGGGTTTTTCCTTTTTATTTTAACACCTAATACAATTCCAATTTAAAGGATTACTCGCACAAAAAAATAAACACATTTGGTATAAAAAATTTATCATCACTTTAACACCCTTTCTCTTATGACCTGCACCCTGTTTGGGGCAGAAACATATAAAGACTAATGGCACAAGTTTGTATTTTCTCTAAAGAAGTTTGTTTTTATGTACCCAAGTACTCCAGAGGACACCAGCCCGCTTTATACAAGAACCATTTTCTTCAGCCTGCTGAATTTAGTTTCACAAAAGAAACAAAGCTATAAAGGCATTTAAAAACCATTGTCTTATATTCTCTCTTTTTTAGAAGCACTGACTTTTTTGCACCATTTATATACATAATGTAACATAACAGCTCTTGAGTACAGTACATGCAGCAGAATGTCTGTTGAATATAAAACATACATTTAAAATCTTCACTTAGAATCCTTTGAAGACTGAATTATTGTAGAATGCCCACTGCTTAGAGAAAATGGTTGGAGAGTACAAATGTCTGCATATGTTGGCCATTGGAACAATCCAAAGCCAACTGGAATATTTGTAGCACATCAATAGTGCATAAATAATTTACTTACAATATTAAAACACAACTAGCAAAATTAATAGTTCAATATCTTATGACTGCTAAATCTTTTAAGTGGTTGCAAAGAAGTGTTTTGTTTTCTTTTATTAAGTCCTCTATAAAATCTTTAGTATGTACTTTGTTTTCCAAATGAAGTTTATTTATGTCTACTGCCTCTTCTCTTCATTGCAGCAGTACATTGTGGACAATACCATTTTCCTTTTGGTGCCTCTGTCAATCCAACACAGCCATAATGGAACCACTCTATAGGGCACTGTAAAACAAATTTACAGGAAAAGTTTTATTACACCTGTAGCAAGAAAAAGATATTTATGAAAACAGAAGCACTGCTCTGGATGATATAATGAAGGCTTGTAACCTATTCACTATATGCAAATTAAAAAAGGAAAGAAGTCCAAAAATAAGAAGGATAGAGGAAAAACTCCATTTCCACATATACACCATTTATACGTATAAATTAAACATCAGCTGCAACCCTGGACTAATGTACCAAAGTAAAAGTTTAAATCCAAACTTAGGAAAAGATTTAAACAATTTTGTTGCATGTTAAAAAGCACAGTTGTAATCGCATAATTACTCACTGTGTATAAGTGTGTCAGGATGAGTTAATAAGCTAAAATTGAATATTTAACCAAGAAAACACCAAACCAAATCATAGAACAATTTTTCTGAACTATCATCAATAGATACTGTGCCTGAATGAAGCAAAAGTTCAATTATTTTGATATGAATGATGATCTCTCAATAAAACATAAGATCACATACCAAGGAGAGTACTATAACAATACAGTGAAAAGGGAAGACAACCTGAAGAGCAACTGAACTGGCATGCATATTAACTCACATTAATCATGGTATTTCACATTATACTCCTAGGTAAATTTTAGATTCTAATCATAGAATCAGAGAAAGTTAGGGTTGGAAGAGACCTCAGGAGCTCATCTAGCCCAACCTCCTACTGAAAGCAGGACCAGCCCCAACTTGATCATCCCAGCCAATGCTTTGTCTAGCAGGGTTTTGAAAACCTCCAAGGATGGAGCTTCCATAACCTCTCTGGGTAACCTGTTCCAGTGTTTTACTACCCTCTTAGTGACATAATTCTTCCTAATATCCAACCTAAGCTTCCCTTGCTGAAACTTGAAACCTGTTGCTCCTCATTCTGTCATTTGCTACCAGTGAAAACAGTCTAGTGCCATCCTCTTTCAAGCCCTGCTTCAGGTAGTTGAAATCCCCACCTCAGTCTTCTCTTCTCTAGATTAAATAAACCCAGTTCCCTGAGCCTCTCCTAACAAGTCATGTGCACTAGCCTTCTCACCATTTTTGTTACCCTCTGCTGGACTCTCCAACTTGTCCACATCCTTTGTGTAGTGGGGGGCCCAAAACTGAACACAGTACTCCAGATGTGGCCTCACTGGTGCTGAATAGAGGGGAAGAATCACTTCCCTAACAACACACCTACCAATGCAGCCCAGTATGCCACTGGCCTTCTTGGCAACAAGGACAAACTGTTAGCTCATATTCAGCTTATTGTCCACTGTAACCCCCAGATCCTTCTCTGCAAAGTTGCTGCCCAGCCAGTCAGCCCCCAGCCTGTAGCGGTGCATGGGATTGTTCTGTCCTAAGTGCAGGACTTTGCACTTGTCCTTGCTGAACATCATGATATTCCTTTTGGCCCAATCCTCCAATTTCTCTAAGTCACTTTGAATCCTAGCCCTAACCTCCAGTGTATCTACTACTTCTCCCAGCTTGGTGTCATCTGCAAACTTGCTGAGGGTGCACTCTATGCCATCTTCCAGGTCATTGATGAAGATACTGAACAAAACCAGCCCCAAGACTGACCCCTGGGGCACTCCATTTGATACTAGCTACCAAGTAGACATTGAGCCATCATTTACTACTCTGAGCCCAATGCTCCAGCCAGTTTTCTATCCACCTTACAGTCCATTCATCCAGTCCATACCTCCTTAGCTTGCCTGCAAGAATTATGTGGGAGACTGTATCAAACACTTTGTTAAAATCAAGGTACACCACATCCACTGGTCTCCCCACATCCACAAAGCCAGTCACCTCATGACAGAAAGCAATGAGGTTGGTCAGGCATGACTTGCCATTGGTGAATCCATGCTGACTGTTCCTAATCATCTTTTTCTCCTCCAAGTGCTGAGAAATGGTTTCTAGGAGGATCTGCTCCATGATTTTTCCAGTGACTGAGGTGAGCCTGACTGGTCTGTAGTTCCCTGGATCCTCCTTCCCTTTTTTAAATATAGGCACTATGTTTGACCTTTTTTCAATCATCTGGGACCTCTCCTGATCACCACGAGTTTTCAAAGATGATGGCCAATGGCTATGCAATCACATCAGCCAACTCCCTCAGCACCTTTGGGTGCATCAGCCCCATGGACTTGTACACATCCAGCTTTTCAAAGTAGTCCCTAACCTGTTTTTTCAGCACTGAGGGATGCTCAGCTCCTCCCCAAACTGTGCTGCCAGGTGCAGTAGTCTGGGAGCTGACCTTGCCTGTGAAGACCGAGGCAAAAGAGGCATTGAGCACTTTAGCCTTTTCTGCATCCCGTCACAAGGTTGCCTTTCCTGACTTCATCCCTGAGCGATGCTCTATATTCTTCCCTAGCTGTCTGTCCAAGTTTCTACTTCTTATAAGCTTCCTTTTTGTGATTTAGTTTGCAAAAGCATTCCCTGCTAAGCCAAGCTGGTCTTCTGCCATACTTGCTAGTTTCCCTGCGCATTGGGATGGTTTGTTCCTGCACTCTCAGTAAGGCTTCTTTCAAGTACAGCCAGCTCTCCTCGACTCCTCTCCCCTCAGTCTGGCTTCCCAGGGGATCCTGCCCACGAGTTCCCTGAGTGAGTCGAAGTCTGCTTTTTTGAAGTCCAGGGTCCTTACTCTGCTGCTCTCCATCCTTCCTTTCCTCAGGATCCTGAACTCAATCATCTCGTGGTCACCGCTGCTCAACTTGCCATCCACTACTACATTCCCCACCAATTCTTCCCTGTTTGTGAGCAACAGGTCAAGAAGAGCATGGTTCCTAGTTGGCCACTCCAGGACTTGCAGCAGGAAGTTGTCCCCAACACTGTCCAAAAAATTCCTGGATTACCTATGCACTGCTGTATTGCCTTCCCAGCAGATGTCAGGATGACTGAAGCCCCTCAAGAGGACCAGGGTCTGTGATCAGGAAACTGCCACTAGCTGTTTGAAGAAAGTCTCATCCATCACTTCCTTCCTGGTCTGTTGGTCTAGAGACCAGACCCCCACCACAACATCACCCTTGTTGCTCTCCTCTCTGACCCTACCTCAAGACTCTCAACAGGCCTACCTCCAGCTTCATACTGGAGCTCTGAGAAATCATATGGATCTTTATATAAAGTGCAACCCCTCTCCCTTTCCCCGCTCCCTGTACTTCCTGAACAGTATGTACCCATCCAGACAGTGCTCCAGTCATGTGACCTATCCCACCAAGTCTCTGTTATTCCAATTACATCATAGTTCCGCGATTGTGCAAGGACTTCTAATTCTGCCTGCTTGTTGCTTCAAACTTGATCAGACAACTGGGTCACACTGCTTTCATATTACCTGAGAATCTGTACTATTACCTGCCTGATTTTCATTGCTAGTCTCTCCCCACCATACTTTTGCACCACTCAATTTTCTTACAGAGCTCCTCTGGGTGTCAACTGTGTTAAGTGTTAGAATATTCAGTGAGTTATAGAAAAGCAAAATGATAAGTGGCAGATAGCAAAAACAAACTAAAACCAAAGCCCACTAAGACCAAGAGAGTAAAAGTGCTACACCTCTATCAGAAAGCCTTAGACCGCAAAAATGTGTCACATTTGTGCTTCCATAAAAAAAAAAAAAAAAAAATGGCGGCGGCAGAAAGCTCAAGCAAACAGACATCCAGGCTTCTTGTCATGCCGCAAATGCCCAACATTGTGGCCATGACAATAGGTGGCAAAACTTGTGTTTTTTTGTGGAGGACACTGGTTTGCTCTCCAGCTGCCCCAGGCAAGCACTCCCAGGGCTTCGGGAGCCCCATCTTGTGAAGGTTTTGGCTTGTGGAGCCCTGAGAGTGCCTGCCCAGGTTTCTGTTTGCATAGACATGTCCTGGGAATCTCATGGCAGGGGATTCCCCAAGCACATGTACTGTGCTACTGGGCTGACTCAGGGTGTACTTCTGCAAGTATGGGGACCCTAGGTATCCCTTGGCTGGGGGCATGCATCACCAGGAACATTAATTGCTCTGCTGCATTCCAGCTCAGGGCACCCGGGGTTCCCCTGTTTTTAGGTGTTCCACAGATGGGACACCAGGAGTAGCAGGGGCCTGATCCTAAGGGACAAAGGGCAAGATCTGTGTTGCCCAATAAAGCGTATTATCTGTGCCAGGACACATCCAGGCACAGATGATCCTACTCTAAGGACAGTGTCTGTTTACAGCCTCTGTATTAAATTTATATCCAGACTGAACCCACTCCTTGTAGAAATAGGAGATCAACAACAGCACCACTATTATTACCAGTTTGTAATACTATAATATTTAACAGAAAAATGTACTGCTTAGTTGTGGAGCTATTTAAGTCTGTCCAATATGAGGGCTTAGGACTGATTTCCATTTCTGGAAGTTTATATTTACCCCAATTTCCTAGGAAAAATATGTAGACTGAGTTCAACTATTAAATCTGGATAGAAAACAATTTTTAAAAATGATTGCAAGTTAAAAAACACTTAGAATATTTTACTTATCTCTCTCTCTGCCCATTTTCTACTTAGACAACAGCTTGCCAAATTACTGCAGGATCAAAGATAAAACACAAGCCCCCTCCCCGTCAAAACCAGAAACACAGTGAACACTGGAACACAAACCATAACCAGGATGCTGATCTTTCCCTCCTGAAAGTTCTACTGCAATTCCCTTTCAATTCCTTCTCTACTTTACTGTGCTGCAATCATTTTTTCATTTCTATACTTTTAAGCTAGATTTTGAAAAAAAATAATCACTACTTAGTAATTTTCACTTTAGACTGAAAAGTAGAAAAGCTATTTTAGCCAACATGAGTTGCAGTGTTATGCACACAAAAGCCCCACACAGTGTAGGAGCACAACCCTCACCCCACGTCTTTAGCATTTTGTTACTTACATCTTGGTTATCGCATCCCACCATTTCACCATACGATACCTAAGTTAAAGAGTAAGATTTAACTATTAATATAGTGACTTACTAGTATTTACAACATTATTTAATTTTTTAAATAAAATATTTTTTTATTGACAGAATTTAAAGGAATACAACTAGTTATCTTTTGCAAAGCAGTGTATCAGTGTTATTAATGTATAAAAACAAATGATTTTCGAGGTCAAATGTCTTATGCAAAAATAAATTCATGTTATGCATATCTGAAGTTGGATAAGAAAAGTGAACAGTTCTATTTGACCAGAGACAATGATGAACACTACTTTAAGTCTGAGCTGACAAATGTGAAAAGAATGTCCTTAGTTTCTCTGTCAGGTGCATGTTTTAGAACAATGCCAGATGGCACGCTTGTTTGTTTTTAGAAAAGCAAAATTCTTTCATTAAATTTTATGAAATTCTGAAAACATTGCTATTCATCCTTAGTTTTATAGGAGCTTGTTTTCATGAAACACAGATCCAATGGGACCATTTCCCCATGTTCTTCCTCCCTGAAATTGCCTATTTTAAGTGATAAACTCAGGGCTGTTGGTTGTAGCTGTACTGGTCTAAGGTCATAGGCAGACAGAGTTCATTGAGTAGATGTGATATCTTTTATTAGACCAACTAAATAGCTGGAAAAAATGTTCTTTGCAAGCTTTTGGGCACAAGCACCATTCAGGCATAGGGAGAGTCTGTTGGTGTTTTGTGTGCTCTCCTGGGTGGGACAGAAGTCAAAATGCAACGTAGAGGTGTAAAGTGCTAAACTCTGCATTTGTGTTCACTGACTATGAACAAAGGAAATTCAGTTGCAAAAAAATGCTTATTAATTCAAATTATGAGAGTATATTTAAAACTGTTCCTTCTCCCCTCCCTGCCATCCCAATAAAGAGGAAAGAATGTCCTGTAAAAAAGACAATGTACAATGTACTGGTTGCTGTCACTACCAGTGAATCTGGATTTGAGTCACAACAAAGTATTGCATTACCGTTGCATCTCAGTGCTTCAATGGCCTTTGTTTACATCACCAATTAGAATATATTGACAATGTTAGACAAAAAAGTATGCACTGGAAATCTGAGCTATAAACTCATCTGTGGGATAGAAAAATGATATCATACTGAAGAAGCAGTTCTGCTTCTACTTACCTGATTACAAATACAGTAGCGTGGTTCATTTGGATCATAGGTCCAGTCAACTTGGTTGTTAGAATCAGATTCTGGTATTACTGCTGTTTGCTGCGATAGTTCCTGTGCTAAAGCAGATGATGAAGAACACGATGACAAAGAGGAGGAGGAGGAAGACGATGAGGACTGCTGGCTTGAAGACTTATTATTGTTTCTGAAAGATGAAGAGATACAGTAAAAAGTCTTTTAAAGCAAAACCTGTTTATTCTCAAAGATATAAAGCATGGATAGGGATAGGATTCAGAATGATCTAGACAAACTGAGGACTGGGCCAAAAGAAATCTCATGAGGTTCAACAAGGACAAGTATGAAGTCCTGCACTTAGAATGGAACAATCCCATGCATCAGTACAGGCTGGGGGGCTGGCTGGTTGGGGGGCCGCACTGTCGAAAAGGACCTGGGGGTGAGAGTGGACAATAAGCTGAATGAGGCATCAGTGTGTGCTTGTTGCCAAGAAGGCTAACAGCATACTGGGCTGCATTGGTAGGTGTGCTGTGAGGGAAGTGATTCTGCCCCTCTATTCAGCATTGGTGAGGCTACATCTGGAGTACTGTGTCCAGGTTTGGGCCCCCCACTACAGAAATGATGTGGACAAATTGGAGAGAGTCCAATGGAGGGCAACACACATGGTGAGGGAGTTGAGGCACATGACTTATGAGGAAAGACTGAGGGAACTGGGCTTATTTAGTTTAAAGAAGAGGAGACGGAGAGGGGGCTTAATAGCAGTCTTCTATTACATGAAGTGGAGTTTGAAAGAGGATGGAGCTAGACTGTTCTCAGTGGTAGCAGATGACAGAACAAGGAGCAATGGTCTCAAGTTGCAGCAACAGAAGTTTAGGTTAGATATTAGGAAGAATTTTCTCACTAGGAGGGTAGTAAAACACTGGAACAGGTTACCCAGAAAGGTGGTAGAAGCTCCATCCTTGGAGGTTTTCAAAATCCAGCTAGACAAAGCTTTGGCTGGGATGATCTAGTTGAGGCTGGTCCTGCTCCGAGCAGGGGGTTGGGTTACATGAACTCCTGAGATCCCTTCCAACTCTAACTTTCTCTGATTCTATGAGTGCTGAAAGGATAGTCTGAGGTGCTCATCCATGCTATAGTGCTCATGTCATTCTAACGAAATTGTTCTTGCTACCTTCTAAAATTTAAACAGAATACTGTATGTTCTTGCGCACTACGTGCCTCCAACAACACATGCACATTGTTTTGAGGAGGGCAAAATGATGAAAAAGATTCTTCCAGATTTATGGCTGCATAGATGAGTGACAGAATCTAATCTTCATGTCACGCACTCTCCCTTTGCTGCTCAGCCAAAAGGTGAAACTGTAGCTTCTGCTGAAAATTAGTTTCTGTAGGTGGATCTATGATTTTTGAAAATTGCTAAAAACAGTCAGCAGGGTTGTGAAATAGGAGGAGAGACCAAAGGTAACTAGCAGATGGCAGAATTAGGTTAGTGTGTTTAGTGGAACTTCAAGACTATTAAAAAAGAGAAACAATCTTTAACACCTGCGGAGTGAAGAACAGTAAGCCATTAAGGCAACCGATTCCCTCAGCTGCCTGTACAGAAATGTCAGTGCTGTTGTCAGGCAGATGGATTTAAACTTTCAAAGTGAGATGCTTCTATACTGGGGGGGGGGGGAACGGGACGGGGGGGGGACCCAAACAAAAAAAACCCAACCAAACAAACAAACAAAAAAAATCAGCTTAAGATGCACACCCCAATTCTGGAAGAGTAATTTTTGGGGGGGAAAAAGGTGTACATCATATATAAGTAAATAGAGCAGTGGTTTATTATCAGAAAGTAAATGACTGTCTTTTTTCACTACAGAAGGACATATTATTCCAATTGGTGGATTTTAACAGTGTAAAACTATCAAAAAACATTTAAACTTTAGCTTGCAGTGAAAGACCAATGTCAATGATGCATATTCTAACTTGCAAGTTAGAAGTAAAAGAGAACATTCACATAAATTATATGTGCATAGTATGTATTAAGTAATTGCTTTTTGAAGCTAGTCATTTTACATGCTCTTCCACATGTGCGACCACTGATACCCTACAGCAGAGGTGTTAAACTTATGGCCTGTATGTGGTCTACAAGGCTTGTGGAGAGGCCAAGAATTTGGGGGTTGAGTTAACAGGTGCAGGGCCTTCTGCTGAAATCCAGAGCCCCCTTGACAATACATGTCAGCAGGTGGGTGGGGGGGAAAACAATGGCTGTGTAAATCCCCAGTCATTGCCACATCAGGATCCAGTTCATGAAGTGGAATGAGTTTAAAGCATGCTCTATGGTAAGAAGAAAACCGCCTTCAAACAAATACTTAAACCCCCACCCACCAACATGCTTTAGGTTAGAGCAGTGGTCTCAACCTTTTATAAAATAAGAGCACCCCACCACAACTTTTTTGAGTTTGGCAACACCCCTAAGTTGAAAACCACCACTGTGTACTGCCTTTGCTTACTAAGGCTGTGCAAAATACCATCATTTCAATGTCCATTTTGCTGCTTCGAAGGGACCATGTTTCATTTCATTGTTTCGAAGCACTGTTTCATTCAGTTAAAACTGTTTCGACGTTTTGCCCATAGGCTATAATGGGGAATCATGAAAATGCCTAAAACACTGTAATTTGTTGCCTGATTAGGATGCAAATTGCAAGGATGGTAGCCCCCTTTGAGGACATGAAGCCTGCAGAGTTCTCTCAGAAACTGCACTTCAAAGTTTCAAAAGCAAAACTCAAGACACTCGGCGGCAGCAGCAGCAGCAGCCTCCTGTCATATGGGCACAGATACGGGGGGCCTGCACCCCCAGGACTGCGGGGCTGTGCTGGACTCCTCCCAGGGGTGTGGGCCCCTGGATCTGCGCCAGACGACAGGAGGTTGCCACTGCTGCTGGGGATGTGGAACCATTCAGAGCACAGCACAGCAGCAGGAGGTGGGCGGAGATAGGGCTGTGCTCCGCCTCCCGCCGTTGGGCTGAGTTCCATGGGGGTGCGGAGCTGCTCGGAGTGTAGCCCTGGCTCTCCCCTGCCACCAGGCTGCACTGAAACTCGAAACGTTTCGAGTGCCCTCATTTCATTTCGAAAGCTGTTTCGAAGCTTTGTTTCATTTCAATTTCGCTGTTTCAAACTCGAAACATGTCGAAACAGCTTTGAAACAAAACGCTCAGTGAAATTTCGCACAGCCCTACTGCTTACCTCACTGGTTCTCAACCAAGGGGCTGCCACACACTCCTGCCTGTATTAGGATTTTCTGATAAACGTAAAGCATCCAGGAGCAGAGGCATAACTAATGAGTTTTATGACCCAGGCAAAATTCCTGCATTTCCCTGTGGGAGGGGTGGAGGTGGTAGGAAGGAGAAAGAAGAGTGGTATTACATGCCCTGGGTGTCCCTGCACCCAGGTCTGCTGGGTGCGCAGTGCAAAGGGCTGACTCCAGGGCCCAGTCTGACCCCTCCAGACAAGCAATCCAATAAGGCTGTGGCCAGAGCACTTTAACAATAATTTTTTTTCTGTAACACCCATACCATAATCTGAACTTGGAATAAGTTAACCAAAGCTAGTTAAATGATAGTGTTATTATTATCTATAGCTAGCTACAGAATAAGTGGGCTTGTTCTGTGCATAAGACCAACAAAACCCTCCAAGCGCCAAAAGGCTGTAAACAGATGGGTAATTCTTTTGAAAAGCTGCATGTTTGAGTTATCTAGCTTTAACAATGTGTTACAGAAATTATGTGATAAATGATCAATCAACTTAATGCCAATGCTGGTAGAAATGTGCCTTTTCCAGGAACTAGAATCAAAAGGAGTTTTCCAGATAACAACACAGTTAAATCATTCTATGAAAATATTTTAAAAACATATCTGGATTATGAAGTTTGTTTTAGGAAACTATTCAACAAGAAAAATATTCCCAGTATGACCCATCCAATTTAACAGAGAGCTCAGCTGTATTCACACTTAATACTGGTAATATCTAGGGGATTTTGTTAAAATAAGCCAACTCCCCTAATATCTACATTTTAGCACGCTTCTGACATAACACACAAGGGCAACTCTGAACACAGCTGAACAAAATATAAACATGCCAAAACAAAAGAACCCACTTGCTTTTTCGACCACTCCGTGAATCCGTGTTTGATGAACCTAGTGTTTGTGTTAACGTAGATGCCAGAGCTGATGAGGTATACCCAGACGAGTCTCTTGATAATGAAAATTCTCTACCAAGTTGAAAGTCATTGTTCTTGAAGGCTTCATAGCTGGCTTTCAGGCTGGATGTTCTTCTTCCTTCCTTCATCTAAAAGAAATACTATTATTAGGAAAAAAAGTGTTCAAATACTATAGTTCCTACATAACCACCTACAGTTAGTGCTATCCTGTTAACTACTAATTGTACAATTATTTTATTTTGATGGTAGCTATCCAGTTTAGACAGCGATAGAATCAGCTGAAGGAATAAACAAAACAAAATGCCATACCATCCTCCATTTCATGAAAGACTCAGGATGAAACAGGACTCTCTTAATATAAAAAAGGATATTTTCCAAAAGAAAATACTGAAGTCAACGGAAAGTGGATATGAAAATTCAAACCAAATAAAAGTATATATTTTTTCTCTCTAAGTAGCACTAAATAGCAAGCTTCCTAAATTTACCCCCTCCCCACCTTATATATATATATATATATATATATATATATATAATTTATTTATTTATTTATTTTATTTTATTTTTTACCTGTGCTGTGGCTTGTACTGCTTGAGCTGCTGCCATGGTAATAGCACCGGCTCCAGATCCTGAAGATAATGAGCCCAGGTTATATGATGTCAATGGCTGAGAAGAGTTTGTATTGTATGCATTGTTGGAAGAGGATGATGAATTACTGTTTCGACACCCTTGATGAACAGAATACATTTATGAAATTCAAAGTGAAACTAAAAATACCTTTAAATCTTAGTAAGCTGAATACCACCTATACATATACCAGTTAGTGAACTTTACAAGTGTAGGGTAGGATGGCCTGTGCTGAGCTGCTATACTGCCATGATCAATAGATGGTTTGATTTATCATTTGTATTTGCCCCTTAACTGTTTTGGTGTGGAAGTGACCGCTTCATGTCAATTTAACTGGTCCAATTAATTAAACAAAATCCATTTATGATGTTTAGTCTAGTTTTTTGGTTGAAATGATGATCAAAATAATGCATGTTCTCAAGAAGGAGAATGAAATATGATAATATATTGATAGCATTCCTAACATAATTACTAAAGAAAGCCAAATAGAATTTTAGGTAAAGAAAGCCACGTAATGAACTTTTTTTACTGTAATACAACATTGCAAAACAGTTAATTAACAACTGCTGCTGAAAACTGCAGTTCCATTTGACTTAGTGTATTTTGCATAAACAAGGAACACATTTTAAATAGGAAAATATAATGGCTATGAATGTAAAAATATTTAAAATGGCAGAAGGGTATTAAGTAACTCAGAAGTTTTTGAGTCAGATAATGTACTACACTGCTCACTATTAAGTAAACACAGTCCATATTTGAAAAAGCAAAAGAAAATGTCCTCTTTCTCTTTTAACATTAGATCACCAAGACCAAATAGTTTTCCTACAGATGCCAGCCAGGCCTGCAAAGTGTAAATTACAAGACCATGATCAAATTAAGAGATAAGAGGCAGAAGCAGCAATGAAACTGATCTGATGCTTGCAAAAGTTCAGCTGGAGTTTAATTTAATTACTGTGCTGCTGCTTTCTGTCCCCCACAAAAACAGGAACCATGAGCGCATTCTTCTTGAAAATGAAGTAATTCAGAGAAGTATACACAGTTACTTCCTCTCTTCTAAAATATAAGACAACTCAAAGGGGCTGTCTCCTCTCCCTGTTGTTAAATGATAGGTATCACCTGCCTTCCTGCGAATCAACTATTCTTCTCCACTTTGGAGACAGGATAGATTATTTTTCTCTCAAAAGGAATGTGAAGGCATTTAACCTGTAATGTTCTCATTGAGGCTTGAACAAAATTCCTGGAAGCAGAAAAAATTGTGGTAGTCCTTGCAAGTGTCATAAGACAGGACAACTAACCCACAGCTGTGAAAATGGAAACAGACCTGGTATGCCTCAGGGCCAATGGTGAGAGAGGACAATCCCTCCCAGTTATGCATGTTCAAAGAGAAAATTCTAGACTGAAAAATATTAACTTTGGAATTCAAAGACCCAACTGTATTTGCGAAGACAGGTCTCTCCTCCCAACCTCAAAAGCATGCTTTAATTGTATTACCCGGTGTATTTTCTTTAGAAGCATCTGAAGTAAGCGTAGATAGAAGGGCTTCAGATTTAAACTTCTTTTCAGGAACATGATCTGTAGTACTATGGTGAGAAGATGGATTATGTTTCCTTTCTGTTTGAAGAAAGCAAAATGCAATTTCCTATGAGATTTGAAAACAAACAATGCTCAAAACAGAAAGCTTAAGAATGCTGACTATAAATAATGAAAGAATAACTAGGTATTATAACCATATTCATTGACAACTGACACTGTTCCAAACAGTTAAACCCCATCTTCATTCTTGGGCCTCCCTTAACATATATCTTTGCCATTAAATTGTATCAAATTCTGTGTGGAATATTCTGAAATAAAGAATTACAAGGAGACCTCTGGGGACACACAATTCTGACCAAAATGCTATACCAAAAAGTTTATAAAGGTTTTAGTCATACATACAGAATAAATAAAAAAATCCTTTAAAACTTACTTTCTACTGGAGTATGTGAATGAGCATGATGGTTATTCACAGGCTGAGATGGTGTATCCAATTCCAGAGAACCTAACAGAGTTAAAAAGGCAGTACAATTTAATGCCAATTTTGCATGTTAGTCAAATTTTATCTTGCAAACCATCTTGATTTGTAGATCTGACATATATCTTTATCTATAGAAAGTAAAGAAAAACTAAGAAAGCAGCAGTTATGTTCATTTTACCTAGAAAGATTTTTCCCTCAGATTTTCCTCCCCAATGACAAGAAAAGCACTGCAAACCACTATAGATACTGATAATGTATGTCAAGGTGACTCAAAAATAAGTATCCAAACTGCATTCACGATGAAAGGTTTTTGGTGGATTGTAACAACTCCAAGCACGCTCTCCTCCTCCTCTTACAGTTAATTTGAGATGGCCAGAAATTGATTTATAGCTCACTAATGCCAAACAGAGCTTTTCCACTAACTAAAATGAGTTTTGGATTGGACTCTAATTTGTGCATAATTTAAAATACAGCAGCTTAGACAAGCCATTTTACTATGCAGCGACTGCAAGCTTGTTTTGAGGTCATTTTTAGCATTGTAAATGCCTTCTTAGAAACATAGTACTCTTCACACTCTGTCACCAAGGAAACGATCGATTAAACAAACAATCAAAATCCAGACGTCCCTACTGAACTTGACTTGGACTATGTCTTAACTGCATTTCCAAGGCAAGCTTTCTGATATTATCTGCTTTTGACAGAGAATGAAGACAAGTCCAAAAGGGAACATGTCTAAATACTCCAGAACTTATTTAAGTACAAACAAAAAACATTTTTTGTAGTACTGGAACTCAGAGGCTAGATGATCAAGATAAGAAAAAATGTGAAAAAGCAATTTTCCCCCAGAAACACAAAAAATAAAAGGATGGAAGTAAACTTTTCAATAGGATTTTGGATGAACAGAAATGTGTTAGTTTATCCAATCTGAAGGTTAATATAACTTTTTTGAATTATAGGCCAAGCAACACCTGTACAGAAGTTAGATTAATTCTTTTCTTGACTTATAGTCAAATGCTCAAAAACTGTAGTAATTGCTATTATTGGTTGTATTGCATCTTTCCTGATCACCGCTTTAAAAATAAATAATCATAAACAGAAGTAACTAAATTACATCTTGAAAATGTTCTGTGTAAACCAGCATTATTCAGGTCATGAACTAGTTCAGAGCCTGCCCCCTGGTGGAAAGTATATTATGTGTCTTTATTCTTTGGTCAGTTGAATGTTAGAGGCTCTGATTTTTTATTTTTGGGTACTTGGGTAAAAAAAAAAGAAGTAAAAAAAAAAAGAGATATTAAGATATACCTACTAGAGCATATATTTTATATATCTGTGGATTTCTCCAAGATGCTTCTATCTATTCTGATAGTTCCATGGCTGAATAAATGTGGAAGTAAATTTACTTAAATTAAGAATGTACTCCGTTCTACCTCCACCTCGTTTCCTGTTTGTGAACAATATTTCAACATAGTAAGTACATAAGCATTTTGTTTCTGAATATTTAATATTTGTATAGTTTTATCATGAGTCATCTCTCTAGTCCATTCTCACTTAAGTTACAATTTTCCTAATGTTAGGATTAGACACAAAGGTACACTTATCTTAAGATTTACTGCAGTTACACTTGACCTTGTATCTTTAAATACAAAGAACTCATGTGCAATAATTGCTTCCCAAAACACAGACATGTCTAATGTGATATTATTACCCGTATTATAAATGATGGCATTACAGAGTTTATTAGGCATTTGATTAGCAACAACTGTAGCAAAATGTCTCAAGTCCACCCAAGGAAAAAAAAATAAGGTAACTTACCAAGACTAGACCAGATCTTAAGTTTGAGGAGGAACAGAAACAGTTTTTCTGTACCCACAGGTACTGAAATCTATGTTTTGTGAAATGTATTTTGGGTCATAAACTTACTAAGAAGAACCTAAAATTTAGCTAAGTGTATGAAATATTTTATCCATTTGTTATTAAATAAAAAAATCCAATCCCTGAAAACAAAAAAGGCACTGAGCCACTTTTTATATTTGCTCTCAGGCCAGCAGCACTACTATAATTTCAGAACACAGTTATATAGCAGATATAATAAAGAGAAAGATTTCTGAGGGGAGGGCAATATTTATTGGACCAACTTGTATAGCTGGGAGAGAAGACACAAGCACCTTTCATTTGGTCTGGAATAGCGGCAATCGCTGCCCAAGTTGTGAACAGGTTAGGTTAACTAAAGAAATGTTATCAATTATATTAATGAATCTGGCAACCTGAAAGGGGAAGCAGACAATTGCAAGTACAGCAAAGAAAAGTTTGCAGAATGAGACATGAGAGTTACATTATAATGAACCATAAAACCAATGTCAAGATGCTGCAGTAACATTTATCTATTGACACCTCCAGGCAATTCAGATTACTGTAGTATTTGTAATGTGGAAACATTACAAGGCAGGGTAGAGATGCACCTGTCGTTCTCTATCTTTTCAGAGTCCAGGCATGCTTCCACAACTTCTCTGGATGGGGTGGCACCCCCAGTTTCAAACCACTGTTGTTGTTTAGGTGTCAACTGGATGGTGCTACTTCCAGGTACCCTGCATGCCTACTGTACAGCCAGATCAGAAACGACTGTAGCACACGTGCACACTCCTCCCACATTAGGGTTCTCCAATAACCCTAAAGCAGGCAGAAGAGCCTGCTTGTGCTGCAGCCCTTTCTGGTCCAACCCCGCATGAGTCTGCCAGAAACATGAGGAGTACAGGACAGGTGTCAGCTCTCCTGCCTGCTTCAGGGTTATCAAAGAACTCTAATGAGGCAGGAGAGCATGTATACCAGGGGCGGGCAATTATTTTGGGCAGAGGGCCACTTACTGAGTTTCAGCAAGCCATCGAGGGCCACATGACAGGCAGCCCTGGGCAGATTAATATTAATTTTCTAAATTTTTTAGGGGCCCCACAGGCCAGGCCGCATTTTGCCCACCTCTGATGTACACGTACTGTAGCCCTACACGTGGGCAGTTTTACCTGGCTGCAATAGTGGCACTTGCATCACAGCACCCCAGCTGAGAACAATTAACTGAATCACAAATACATAAGCTTACATGAGTAAGCGTTCACTTGATCAGATGCTATGAAATATACCAACTACATAGTCACAGCAACTTTTTACAATTAATCTAAGCAAGTATTTTTCTTTTAACACCCAAAACCACAAACAGCACTTAACTTTAACTTACATGCCATACCTGTAAAAAGGAGTAATCGAAACCAAAACAAATTTTACAAACCTTGATTGGACCCAATCATCTAAGAAACAGAACGTGTTTTGGTTACCACTTAACTAACTGGTAGTTTAGGGAGCAAAGCACATTTTTTTCCAGTAGGTTCAAGAGAATTTTCTGCTGTAGGAAACAAAGCATCTTTAGCTTATGATCTAAAAGAGTTCTTGGAGAGAATAAGATACCTGAAGAACTGAAATTAGCTTGCAAGATTTTCATTTGCCAAACTGACAAAGCAACATTTTACAACGTATACTTACGCCTTTCTAATATTTCTGTAATTCCAGCATTATCTGCCTCAAGTTCCATTTTAAATTTAGCTAGTTCTTGGTCCAGCTTTCTCAAGTGACGATCTACCTGTTTCAAAAGAAGATCAAAGATCACTTCCAAAATCCCATACTATTTAATGGTATTACAATTCTACATCCTTTCAGAGGATTTAAGAATTCTGTATATTTTAATGAAATGTGTTAGAACACAGAGTCTGCAGACTCCAGGGACAGTGACATTTAAGAATACCTTAGAAAGCACTTAGGCTTAAAAATCTCTCATCCATCTGCATCACACAGCAGAATAGCATGTGCCACTGCACCAGGAAATTAAACATTTTTTTGCAACTGCCAGCTAACCAAAAGTTTAAGAATGCATTAACTCAGGGATATCAAATGTATGGCCTGCAAAGCCATGCTGTCTGGCCTGCAGGGCTTTTGAAGGAACTGGGAATTCAGGGATGGGGCAAGCAGAAATGGCACCTGCTGCTGAAATCTGAGGTATGGAGTCCCGCTAGGGATGTGTGTTGGCTGCAGGGGGAGAGCAATGTCTGTGCTAACTCCCACAACCACTGCTTGACCCACTGCTGCATCCAGATTCAGTTCATGGTCTGAAACTGGTTGGGGGCTGGAAGGTTGTGGGGCAGGAGGGAAAGGGGCGGGGGGGGAGTTTGACACCACTGCACTAGCTATACAGTGAGAAGAAATGGAGCTGAGAAATCATTCATGTATTTTAAAACATACTGTACAAGTTTATAGTTTAGTTTGCATAGCTTTTTTTGCCCCCACTGGATAGAAAATAAGGATGTTGAAAACAGTAAGTATACACAACATATTAAAAAGATCCTGGCCTGTTTTATCCCCATCTTTTGATAATGAATTAAGAGATTTAAAATATTTTGACACTTAAGAGCATCAGTGTACTAATAAAACAACAGCTCAAGTCAAACCTTCAATTAGCAAAGTTATTAAATTCATTCTGGCTGGGAAAGAAAAAAAATAGTTGGACAAAATCCATCATTCATGGTTCTATAGTTCTTGTACAAGAGGTAACAAAACAAAAGTAAGAGATAAAGTGGAAACATGACTTTTCTGTTAAAGCAAAAACAAATAAACAAAAAACCCAAAACCAACTAGTTTAAAAGGTACCTTTCACATTGAGGCATAATTTTAGTACTTCTGCTGTTTTATGCAGATAAGTAGGTATTCACCAAATAAAAATAACTTTAGAATATCTTAAAATATGCACTTAATATATTCCTTACTTACCAAGTCATATATCTGATTTGCCAATTGTACCTTCTCATCTGCATCTTCCAGAGCTTTATAATAGTCCTGTTGTAAAGAGATTTTTAGTAAAATAACTGAAATGATTGCATTCCCTATCTTCGCTCTCTCTCATACTGAATTAGAAGTTAGAAAAATCCCATCTATAAGATAACTAGACTCTCCTAATAATTAAGTTACATTTTAAGAGCACATAGTTGACCTTTTTTATTTTTTCTAGGACAGAAACACACCAAGGCAGCTGTGCAGCTGCCTGTTTCCTCTACTGCAACATAGGAAACACAGGCTTCAAATCTATTCTGTTGCATGTTAGACAAAAAACTGCAGGGATGAATCAATATTCACCATGGCATGTTTGCCATCTCTCACAGGTCTTTTTATAAAGTTGTAATTCTCCCTCAATGCAAACTGCTAACTGGTCCCCCAAAACAGTTTTGTGGGGCATTTATACACATGCTCCAGAAGTGGGAGGGGGGAAGGCACTTTAATTAAAGCAGCTCCGAAAGCCTAGAGTGTCTCATCTATCAGTGTTCCCGTGCTTCAAAACAGCTGCAGGGGCACTTTACCTAAAGCTCATTGAAAAAACTTAAATTAAATTGAAATGCAACGAAATTATTAGAAATCATATTTAAAACAACAAAGGAAGATACTTTTCATACAGGGCATAATTAACTTGTGAAATTCATTGCCACAAGATGTTGTAGAGACTGATAATCTAACCAGCTTTCAAAGTGGATTAGCCAAATTGATGAAGGATAGGGTCCATAGGTGGGTATTAAGCATGACCTTAGGTAATTCGTTAGGACTCTCTAGGCCTTAGAATGCTGGAAGCTGTGAAGACTGGGGCAGCGGCAAATCAGTCTGGGTAGGTCCTGCATATATATTCTTCCCCTTAGCATCCATTCTCTGCCACAGATATATGAGATACTCTCCTATAGACAAGGGCCTCTACAGAACCCAAGAGAAAATGCTTCTATTAAGGAGAACTCAGCTTCTTTCAAAGACTCAAAAGCAAACATGCAGATAGTGAAAACCTGAGACAAAATGATTTGGCAGTTAGCAGTGGTGACTTGCGACCCACTGTATATGATAGGCAGATATCCCATGTACCCATGTATTCCTACAAGTCTTCAAACATTAAGTTTTATCGGGGGGGAGGAGAGGAAAGAGGAGCAACCCCCTCAGAAGTTTCTGGTACCCCTAACTTCCTTCTCTTCGGCAGTTCAACTTGCCTCATTCAATGTCTAATCCAAGCCACAGTGCTGAACAATTTTTAAACTAAATTTTCCTTAATTTTACTATAAATTATCAAGCTATCTTTTTGAAAGACCTTAGAGAGTTAATCTTTCAAATGTGATTGCCTTACTTTTTTGATTGACGTCATTTGTTCTTCTCTCCATTCAGGTTTGTTTTTCTTTGCATTCATAAAAAATTCATTTACTCTCTGCTCTAGTTGATCCATTGCATCTGCAGCACAGAAAAAAATGTTAAGAAGCATGTTAATCTCCCAGGTATATAAATCTTATGAACCTTGAATAAGGTGCCAGGGTTTTTCTTAAACCAAGTTGGCATATCTGAGGTGCAAACTATCATAATAAAGAAACATGTGACAGAGCAGTGAGGGAGGAAATTGTTTACCTTGATTTCCAAGAAGCAAAAATTGCATTCTGGTATGATTTTCATCTAGAATCTTGAACCTTCCAGCACTGAGCAGGCAAGACTCCCAAGTTCTAAAGGGTTGTTTTTGTTTTTTTTTATCCCTAAGAGCAGTAGTAGTGGGTTAAAGTAAGATCCAAACTCATGACCCAGGTCTGTATATTGCTGACCTCTGACCTTTCTAGCTAGTTACAATTTAAATAAAAAAACAAGTAATCCAAAAATTGTCCTTAAAAAAAGGAAAGAAACAAATAGAAGCAAAATATCCACCACCTCTAATTAAAGATAGCCTCTGAGCTCTGCGAGGAGATGGAAGAGTACAGGAGAGTCCTGCCAACAAGGCGGGTAACTACATATTCTCATCAGATACCACCATCTGGGCAGGATTTTCATTATAATGAACTCTGCTTGAGAGAGGGCTTAAGAAGAAAAAAGTAAAGTCATTAATAAAATAATAAAATTAACTATGTTGCTCATGTTGTTCTTGTTTGGTTATTTTGCTAAAAGCATTTTCAGTTTTAAAAAACAGACACAAAGTGATACCTTTTAAAAGCAGGTGACTAACCAAAATAAGAGACAGCCCTACAGCCCCTCAAAATGACCAAAAAACATGCAAACGTAGGAATGGGAAGAGTTTATTTCCCTATTTTGGAAATAAAGTTCCAATAAATTCTGTAAGACTTGAAGACGGAAGGAGGATTTCTTCGCTGCACGCAAACAATAGTGCTTTGTAGAACGGATGGAATAAGTACAACGTGGCTACCTGGCACATTTCCAAAACTAGCAGCTGCCTCTATCAAAAATTAGCCTTAACAGACTTCCAGTTCCAGGCTGGATAGATGACAAAACTCTTCAGTATATATTTGGACAGCTTTTAGTAACGTTCAAAAAATGGTGTCAAATGAAACATTAAGCAGCACTGTATAACACAACGGTGTTAAAAGATCTGCTCCATGGGTCTGGATCCCATGCAGGGATTCAGAGACAGGACTCACCACCAAATTCCAGGCTATGGAGCCTCATTTTGGCAGGGAGGGTAGTCTAATGGTTTCAGCCACCATATATAAAATACCTGAACATCTTTTAGGATCCAGCACTGGGAGAAAGGCCTAACAGAAATGGGCACAAGGGAAAAGTAGAGACAGACCTACCAACTCACCAGTAAGGAACTCATTTGTAAAATGGTGTCATTAGTCTTTAGGATAAACTAACCCTTCTACAATTTGGTGCAAGATTAGAGCTGAAGACTTGTTACCTTTACAAAGTCACTACACATTACAATAATTTGGCTTTTTTGAATTTACCAGAAATCACTAAATGAAATGACTCAAGACACACTTTCCTTAACTTTTATCAAAAGTATAGAGGTCCTTAAAGAATTTGGTGCAGAAACAGAAGTGCAAATGCTGCAGAATCAGAAGTCTACCATGATCACAAACTGAATTAGATCTTAAGACTCAGAGCCTAGTGAAGTAGTTTATGTGCTGCCCAAGACAAGGACGCATGCTACCTGTGGTAAGCAAACCTTAATCTTTCTGGATCATGGTGTATGCATGAGAGGACCTTCACCAGAACTTTTGATGTGTATGCCTAGGCAGGAGTATGGAGAAGCAGCAGCTTCCCAGACCTTCCATCTCTCCTTTAGACCACTGAGACAGATTCCAAAGGCCAGACCAAGTCTAGACATTCAGCACCTTGATGGCTGTAGTTGTATGTGCATCTGAGTTGAACCCAGATCTCCTGCATGACAGGCAAGGATACTACCACTGAACCATAACAGTGGGTTCATGCTACCTGTAAGCACTGCAAAAATAAAATTGCTATTCTTACTTTAAGTCCTTTTGGGAAATGGCCCTCTGTAAATCTTGAAGACAAGTCAGTTATTCAAATGCTCCACTATGCACGATGTCTTCTTGGGCAAAAAAACACTAGCTTACAACGTAAAGGCCTGAAGTCACTAATTCTTTTTCCAGACAATGAGGTCTTCACATGACTGAGTGACTTTTTTCAACATTAAAAAAAATCGTTAGGACCTTTGTCTGTGCTAATACCATTGAGGCCAGATAAGATGTCAAGTGAAAAGTGAATCCCTTTGAAGTTTGTCATGCCTCTAGAAGGTTGTCCTTAAAGTAAAGGCAAGCACCCTTTTTCATGTGGGTCACTGGAACCCGAGAACGGGGGGTGACTTTTCTACCCTTGCTTTCTCAAATCTTCAAAGGAGTTACTCTCTAGTGCACAAGCTTCTTCTTGACCATCTATCCACTCTGGATGGAAAGCCAGAAAGACAATAAATACTTCACTTGAAAAATCTCCACTTTAAGGCTCAAAAGTCTGGATACAATTCAGCTGAGCTTCAATATTGCCATGGTTACCTCAAATGGAATAGTTGTAACCTGCTACTTACACTTTTTCCATTACTGCTTAGTGGTAAGAAATACCCCTTCATTAGCTGGTGCAAGATATGATCCAAGAGCAGCTGAAATTCTAATGGAGAGAATTTCTGGCCAGGTGCTCGAGTCGCAGCACCTGCAGATTTCTGAGCCATCACTAACTTAGGAGTCAGCTGACTAAACAGTTGTTCAAAATGTGGAAATATGGAATTCTGCACTGCCAGAAGATTCCTCTGGTTTATCTATAGCATTTAACTGGTGGGAATCCTCACAAGTACTTAGACCAGAAGAGATGAGCAAGGAGCCTGAAATTTCTACAATGCTTAAAGATGCTCTCTCTAGCTATGCAAAAGTTACTGGGAACACAAGGTGCATGTCAAAACATTTCCTACAGACTTCCAGGGCCTAAATGTTGTGTTTATGAAGGCACACAAGGTTCTTTAGGTAAATGTGATATCTTGTATTAGACCAGGGGTGGGCAAAATATGGCCCGTGGGCCAAATCCTATCTGGCCTGTGGAGCCCCTAAAAAAATTTAGAAAATTAATATTTGTCTGCCCCAGCTGTCTGTCAAAGATGACAACAGCCAGGGGCAGTAGGACCCAGGGGAAGCCCCAGCAGGTTCCTGCAATAGCAGGGTCCACCCAGACCCACCCCACAACCAGAAGCCCCTGAGCAGGAAATTCAGGTAAAAAGAAGTGGGGAAAGTGGTAGTGGGGGCAGGGGGAGTGTAAATGGGCAGGCGTGCAGGAGTGTGGGGCCTATGCCAGTGTCCCGGGGCCAGCGCTGGCAGGGCCCAGAGCAAGTGGCAGGAACATGGGGTGTAGGATGGCAGGGGTCTATGGAACTGGGCTCCACTGTGCCAGCAGGGAGAGGGGAGCTGGCCCAGCTCCAAACAGCCCCAGCCAGCTGGGACCCTGCGCTCCTGCCGCCTGCTCTAGGCCATGCCGGTGCTAGCCCTGGGGCACCGGCACAGGTCCCACGCTCCTGCCCAGTTGCCATGTGCCCGCTTGCTCCCAGCCCCGTGGCGGGCACAGGCGGGAATGACCGCGAACAGCACTGATCCTGCACACCCTGTGCTCGTCCATCCGGGCTGAGCAACAGCAGCAGCAGGGAGCAAGCCAATAGTTCAGCAAGAGGGAAAAGCTGCCCCTCCCCCTCCTGCTGCCGGCATTCCCTGCCCATGTGGGGCTATCCTGTCTGTCCACCATGTCCCCACCGCCCATGGAGCAGTGGTGGCAGTGGAGAGAGAGCACAGGCAGCCCTGTGTGGGCTCCAAGCAGCTGCCACAGGGAGCACCAGTGGTGGGAGGTGAAGCAGCTGCTTTTCCGCCGCTCCAGCAGCTTTTCGTGCTCTGCCACTGCTGCTGATCAGGCCATTGAGTGAACCTGGAGCCGCTGCGGCGCCCAGGCTGACAACAGCGGTGACAAACAAAGTGCAGCTGAGCGCAGAGGAAAAGCACTCCCCCTTCCGCTGGGCAGTTTACTGGAGCCTGCTCCACGCTAGGCTCTGCTGTGGCTCTTTTGCCGCCAGCTCCGTGGCCACGTGGAGCAGCAGCACTGGGCAGCACAGAGCTGGCAGCAAAGGAGCCGCAGCAGAGCCTAGCATGGTGTGGGCTCCCCCAGCAAACACAACCCAAAGGCGGTAAGGGGGGTGTATTTTCATTTGCCCTGGCAGCAGTTCGTGCCCTGTTACTACTCAGCCTGATGGGCGAGCCTGGAGCCAGTGTAGGACCCAGGCTGGCAGCAGCAGTGAGGAACAAACTGCAACTGAGGGGAAAAGCAGTCCCTCCCCCCCGCCACTGGCACTCCCTGCAACATCTGCTTGGAGGCCACGTGGGGCTGCCTGTGCCTGTTCTCCATTGCCACAGTTGCCCCATGGGTGGCAGGGGCACAGAGGAGAGGCAGGACAGCCCTGCATGGGCTCTGGGCGGCTGCCACAGGGAGCACGGGTGGCAGGAGGGGGAATGGCTACTTTTCTCCCATGCTGAGCAGCAGCTTGTTCCCCACTGCCAACGGTGCTCAGCCCAGACAGGCGAGGGTGGGACACGTGGGGTCAGGGCTGCTCGCAGTCATCCCCGCCTGTGCCACAGGGCTAGGGCTGGCGGGGCTGGGAGCGAGTGGGTGTGCGCAGCCGGATGGGAGCCGTGGCTTCCGCTACCGGTAGTTACGTGTGGGCAGCAGGGCAGCCCCAAGAGGGAGGCAACTGGCTCTGTGTGCTCTGTCCCGCTCCCACGGTGATGGATGAGCCCAATAAGGTGCTGCCCATGCACCAGGGCCCGCGCCAGGCTGGGCAGGACCCTCCACTCCTGCGCACAGCTGAGAGCAGGGGGATGCAAGCAGGGAAATGCCCACTTTCCTGCCCACCCGCTGGCTGCTCTGCACCCTGTGTCTCATACCCACAATACCATACCCAGACACACACATCCCAACAAACCCCCATACCCACCCACACAAAGCTCCCCACAAACCCACCTACCCCATACCTCCTGACACCCATGCACACCCGACACAGTATACAAGTATGACTGTATTTTGAGCTTTTATGCAATCACTTCTACATATATAGCACAAACACACACAAATCAGATAACATTTTTTTAAATTAAATTAAAATATATTATTATGGGTGCCTGACTTTTACTATATAATTTATTTCCACCACCACCTTAGATGGCAAACCCTCTTCCCCAAAGGAGTACTTGCAGGGGCAAGGAGAGGGACTTCTGGTGGCAAAGGTGGGACTTCCAGTCCCAAGATGGTGACCAGGGAGCGGGGCACCTGGCAAGGAACGAAGTTACCCATGCGGACCTCTACAGCTTGCCAAAACTCGGTAAGTGGCCCTCTGCCTGAAATAATTGCCCGCTCCTGTATTAGACCAACTGAGTAGTAGGAAAAATTGTTCTTTGCAAACTTTCAGGCACAAACACCCTTCTTCAGGTTTATCAAGAGTTTCTGTGAAGAGATTTAGTACCTGACACAGCACAAGAGAAAAAAAAAAAAAAAGCATTAAAAGTGGGACTAAAACTTTGAGGATGAATAGATGTGATTTGGCCAGCTCCCCAAACATATTCTGCCACTCATGTGGTCTCAACTTGAGCCTGTTTACTCTTAGTGCTACCTTACTCTTTAAAAGAACACAGTGCCTCATGAGTGGAGTCTCATGGATTTCAAGCACTGTAGCCTGAAAAAGACAGAGCGTGGGATGCATAAACGCTATCTGCTGGCAACACAAAGTTTGGAGTTGTGGACTGGGATCTCACCCAGGAAGAAGGGGATGATCTCGAGGACCAGAGAAATAGAAATGCTATTTCACAGTCCGGACACCAGCGCACAAACACCAAGACCTCGTGCTGTAACTGAGGTGTCAGCCCACAGCAGGCATGAGGTTGCATACGGGTGCCACCAAGGCGACAAGGCAGATGGGGTTGAAATAGAGTTGCCAACCCTCCAGGAATTGGAGATAAATTTCCAGGAGACTGCTGAGTCACCCAGGAGATAATATTTATTTTAATAAATGCCCTATCGTTTAAGTGTCAAATCAGATTTATACAGTTGTCCAGTGGGTTTTTAAAACGCAACAGTCATGTGCATTTGCCTTCCTGACTGTCATTACATCATGTGATGAAGCCTCCTGGAACAGATTCAAACAGACTTGGCGACCCCAACTAGAAATCAAGCAAGTCCATGCAAAGCAACAACACTGCAATGAAACTGAAAAATAAAACAGGGAGGAGGAGGAGGAAGGAGAAGAAGGGGGAAAAAACGCTGCAGACAGGACCAGGCAGTGTCGCCCCCTCCCCGGTCCTCTGGTCTCCCACGTGGAGACTCCGCTCCCGCTGCTCTCTGCCGCCCCGGGGAAGCGCAG